AAGTCAGTGCGCACTTTCTTTATGAAATCCCTTATTCAAAAGTATTCTTTATAAAATCCCTTATTCTTTAAGTTAGTTCTTTGTTCTTTTGTTCTTTGTCCATTGATTCATTCCCTTTTATTCTAATTAATATTCCAGATGTCTTCAAAGTTAGGTTTCTTAATTCCTTTTATTTTAATATTGCCAGAGTAGCTCCAGAGGTAGCTAGCTAAGGATTCCTTATTTAATTATCAATTGATTGATTTTCTTATATATTATATTGGAGGCCTTGGTTGTTGAGGGGGGGGGGGGGGAGTTTATAAATCAAGAGTCAACATTACTTTCGCACGCGCTGGCCATTCTGCCCTGGCTGCCAACAACAACTCGGCCAGAAGGAGGTGATGGGCGCCAAGGCCTTCACCGCTGCTTCATCTGCCGCCACTGCGACTTTGCAAGGCGCAGAAAATGACCTTCTCCGAGAAATTGGACCACATAGCAAACCTCGAAACCCGCTGTTGTGAAAATGCTAAGCATTGGCGTGCGCGGGCAAGCTCTGAAACCAGGCGGCTGTGCTCATTCAACTCGGTCTTCGGTGCGTCTATCTGGGCAGCAGAAATCCAACCTTCAGCTTTTCCTCAGACAAACTCCGTCCAAAACAACCTGCAAAAAAAACAACCGACGGCAAGTTTTTCCGACAAGGAGCTAACCAACGACCCAGAACTAGTTTGCTAAAAACAAACGCTGGAATCACCATGAACATCCATGACCCACCTGCCCATGAGCTAGCGAGGTGGGCTTTGATCCAACAGCGCCACCAACCCGCTGATGTTTTCACCGGGAAAGTAAGACTGGTAAGTTTTCTGCTGGCGGCTGGATGGTTTTTCACTTCCATCATGGATCCTTTTAGCCAAGGCGCTGACAGCAGCGACAAACTCACGGATCGGCGCAAGCAACTTCTGCACTCTCCGAAGGCATTTGTCCAGAGTGTCATGGGAAGGTGACTGGAAACTTAGCAAGCCGGCGGCCTGGACAACACTCTTCGCGCACATGTCAAGATTCAGCGGGGCAGTCTTTGTCATCAAAGCATCCTCTTCGACTTGGGTTGATCCTGGCACTGGCAGCACTTCGCCAGAAGGCAAGTTGGCACCCGACAGGTTCTCAATGGACGACAATGCTGTGGCTACCCCTGACCAATCTTCGGACTCGGCAGGCTCCCACTCCTCGAGACAATCGGTATCCTCATCGCCCTCTGCCAGCCACTCACCTGACTCTGAAACCAACAAGGCAGTCTGGATGCTATTCCAGGAGCTCTGCAAAGCTTTGTACAAATCAGCTGCTGAGCGTCCAACGACAAGAGCGGATTGCAGCACACATGCTGTTTTGAGAGCGTCCTTGGAAAGGTCAACGGCTTGCTCTTCTGACAACTTGGTAGCAGTTGGGGTTTCAGGCAACGGTGCGTTTTGCCTGGTTGGCTGCCATGGCCAAGTGATGGTGATGCGTGGAAAGAACAGCATCTCGGACGCAGGGTACACCAGCAAAAGGAGTTTTGATCACGGCAAAATGCAATTCGGCACATTCCTCTTGCTGCGCGCGAAGCACGAAAGGAACTTCACTGGGCCACCGCATGCAGCGCGTGCATTTTTGACTGCGCATCTGAAGCATGTTTTTGGTGGTAGTCGCTGAAAACAACCGGTCATGCCACTTGTTCGCGCTCTTGGCCATGGCATCTGCAACGCAAAGGAGGATCCAGTAGTACCCGAAGAAACTATTCCAAAGTAAGGTCAGCGAGTCATTGTTCCACAACTTCAAAGACCCCCCGGTAACCAGGGCCGTTAGGAATTGCCAGAGGTGAACGCTACACTGTCCCAACTTGCAGACATGATGTGAGCAGGGTTCAGCAACCGGGCAACTTCTAAATCGCTTTGCCAATCTCGACCAGCATGGGATGACCCAGGCAGCACACCAGCTGCAAGAGCGGAGTAGTCCACCTGCTGGCACATGCCACAGGACATGGGCCATACGAACGCCTAGAAAAGACTGTCACCCCAGCCCACATGTCTTCAAGACAAAAAACATTGTTCTTCATTGTCTTCAGGGCAACAAAAGGAGACGGCACTCGCTGAAACAAATTCAGCCTAGCGGCCCAAAAAGCACCCAACTCAATTTTGCGCCCGTGGCTGCGACCAGCTCGCCCTATAGCTTTCTGCACATGGCCAGAATCGAGAGTGATGAACAAAACTTTCTTGGGGTTCACACCATATGTAAGCTGCCGAAATGGCAAAAAAACATGCGACAGCTTCGAATCTGCAATGCTGCCCAAAAGGACACTCAGCTGCTGCCGAACAGTTTCGCGTTGCCCAAGCCCATGCAAAAGGCAGTCGTCTTGCCATGGTTCCCATGCGCATCGTGCGCCACCACAAGTGGTCCATAGCCACTGTTTGCCTTGACGCAGGAATCAAGCAGTTCGCCCATGTGCACAAAATGGGTGTGACAGTTGCTTTGCTTGTGTTGCCGTGGCAAGAACTGTACATCCCAGCAAGGCCCTCGGGAAGTCAAGCCTTTCAGCACGCAGCTAAACACCACTTGCGCCAGGTTCTCTTTCGGTGGATCTTCAGCATGGTCGGCCAACCGAAGCCATGAGTAGTC